TTGTTTGTCACCGGGAGTACTAAGGTCTCGCCAAGTGTCCTGAGCTACTTATTGGCCCTATGTGAGTCAATATGCTGTTTACAACACAACACATGTGTCAGTCACTATATAAGTGGAGTGTTCTAGTGGATCTCACTACTCATTCCATCAAACCTATTCTTGCTGAATGGTCCTACAAATTCAGTGTATTCTTTGGGAAGGCCTGGACAACTGAAGTGGGCACATCCTCCACATCTCTCACCCACAATGCATTGTCATAGTGTCAGTGCCTATTGCTGTACCCAGAGTGGCTTTTTCCTCCCTGTTCTGCAGAGTCCATATTTCAAAATATAATTACATCATATAATGCTTGTCATTGACTGGAAATATGTTGTTTACTTTAATGATTATATGGAGTGAGTGAGTGAGTTTAGTTTTACGCCCTTTTAGCTATAATTCAGCAACGTCAGGGGCCACAAGAAATGGGCTTCACACATTGTACCCATGTTGAAAATGACAGATTTTATACATTGTAATGTTGTTCAAATTATTTCACATTAAATGTGTTTTTAGGAAAATATAAACCTGTTCAAATAATGAAGCTCTGTTAGTAACTTCACAACCATAGCTAACTGAGGAGGATGTGAGGAGGGTCATGGCAGGCCCAGTCATCTAGGTTCATTGTGCAGCATGGTAATACCTTGGGGTGTCAGAGAACTATTATTATTATGCTTGTCAGCTCCATACTGTACGTGTTTTCATCTAGGCAGTACATGTTATAGACCTGCATCACTTCAGGCTTCCTTCCCACATTATTGTACAGCAGGAATATTGTTCACAGCGACATAAACTCCTCCCACTTGCCCGTCCAACCAAGTTCTGGTCGTTATACATCAGAACTTTTGTCTGAGATGCCTGTAGATAAATGTATAACAGTTTTGCGCTCTTAGTCTGGTTTGGAGAAAATAATGACTAATGATATATTTTTATCAACTTGGCTTCAGTTATTTGTCTAAGGAGGCCTGTTACATGAAGCCGGATCAGTTGACATGCCCGTCAATGTGTAGAAAAGAGAACGACACTATAATAAAAAGATGGTTGTCATACTGTGGTATGAAAGCTGATGCATGACTTAGTGACAATACCTGCTATGAAAGTTGATCATGTGCATTTGCAAATGGAGATAACATCGGCATAGAAATGTTTTGCTGTGTCAGCATATCCTGTGTCATCTGGCTCAAGACCAACTGGTACTGATGCTACCATGTGAAGGAGGTCCCTTGTCAGTCAGGCATGAGTGTCTGAGTGATCTCAGACCAACTGGTACTAATACTACCATGTGAAGGAGGTCCCTTGTCAGTCAGGCATGAGTGTCTGAGTGATCTCAGTCCAACTGGTACTAATACTAGCATGTGAAGGAGGTCCCCTTGTCAGTCAGGGCATGAGTGTCCGAGTGATCTCAGACCAACTGGTACTAATACTAGCATGTGAAGGAGGTCCCCTTGTCAGTCAGGCATGAGTGTCCGAGTGATCTCAGACCAACTGGTACTAATACTAGCATGTGAAGGAGGTCCCTTGTCAGCCAGGGCATGAGTGTCCGAGTGATCTCAGACCAACTGGTACTAATACTAGCATGTGAAGGAGGTCCCCTTTGTCAGCCAGGGCATGAGTGTCCGAGTGATCTCAGACCAACTGGTACTAATACTAGCATGTGAAGGAGGTCCCCTTGTCAGCCAGGGCATGAGTGTCTGAGTGATCTCAGACCAACTGGTACTAATACTAGCATGTGAAGGAGGTCCCCTTGTCAGCCAGGGCATGAGTGTCCGAGTGATCTCAGACCAACTGGTACTAATACTAGCATGTGAAGGAGGTCCCCTTGTCAGTCAGGGCATGAGTGTCCGAGTGATCTCAGACCAACTGGTACTAATACTAGCATGTGAAGGAGGTCCCCTTGTCAGCCAGGGCATGAGTGTCCGAGTGATCTCAGACCAACTGGTACTAATACTAGCATGTGAAGGAGGTCCCCTTGTCAGCCAGGGCATGAGTGTCCGAGTGATCTCAGACCAACTGGTACTAATACTAGCATGTGAAGGAGGTCCCCTTGTCAGTCAGGCATGAGTGTCCGAAAGATCTCAGACCAACTGGTACTAATACTAGCATGTGAAGGAGGTCCCCTTGTCAGTCAGGCATGAGTGTCCGAAAGTGATCTCAGACCAACTGGTACTAATACTAGCATGTGAAGGAGGTCCCCTTGTCAGCCAGGGCATGAGTGTCCGAGTGATCTCAGACCAACTGGTACTAATCCTAGCATGTGAAGGAGGTCCCCTTGTCAGTCAGGCATGAGTGTCCGAGTGATCTCAGACCAACTGGTACTAATACTAGCATGTGAAGGAGGTCCCCTTGTCAGTCAGGCATGTGTCCGAGTGATCTCAGACCAACTGGTACTAATACTAGCATGTGAAGGAGGTCCCCTTGTCAGTCAGGCATGAGTGTCCGAGTGATCTCAGACCAACTGGTACTAATACTAGCATGTGAAGGAGGTCCCCTTGTCAGCCAGGGCATGAGTATCCGAGTGATCTCAGACCAACTGGTACTAATACTAGCATGTGAAGGAGGTCCCCTTGTCAGTCAGGCATGAGTGTCCGAGTGATCTCAGACCAACTGGTACTAATACTAGCATGTGAAGGAGGTCCCTTGTCAGTCAGGCATGAGTATCCGAGTGATCTCAGACCAACTGGTACTAATACTAGCATGTGAAGGAGGTCCCCTTGTCAGCCAGGGCATGAGTATCCGAGTGATCTCAGACCAACTGGTACTAATACTAGCATGTGAAGGAGGTCCCCTTTTCAGTCAGGGCACAAATGTCTTAGTGGTCTCAGTGTACATAAGGGCAATAATCTCAAACTTCTGCACGACAAGACAAGACAAGACAAAAACTGTTGTATGGATACAGATATAGATATAGACAGATATATAGATACATATATCTTGTTCCTGGGATCAATGAATATGTTGGCTTCAGGACAATGCAAATTTAGGAAGTCTAATTGGCCTGACAGTTTGACATTCACATTTGTTTTATGTGCTGAAAATGTGGGTTTGCAGTAAAGAAAACACGTAGAAATTTTACTTATGTCTTCAGGTATTTTCTGACCTGTGTTTTTAAAGTCATGTGAATCTGACAACCTCTTTAAGAAGACTTGCGTTTAAGGAGATATTCCTGTGTCGAAACAAACTCGCTGGTTTGTTTCCTTTACTATCTGAATGTTGATGCCATGAAGTCACTTCATTTCTAGCTCAATAAAAGTAAACATTTCCATTTGTAACAAGGATATGCACATATACACCAGTTTATTTGTCAAATATGCAACCGTTTAAGACATTCAGAATGTTTATCTGTTATTTATCTCCTGAATGTTGATCAAAGAAAACAACATCAAATACAGAGGTATGCTCCACAGTGATTAGTCCCTTTCTTCATGTAACTTTGAAATGTCCTTTTCTTAGTGAATCATGATTGAAGGAGAAATTAAGCAGATATGATCTCTGTGTTGAAACAGGTTTGTGAAAAACTAAGACTTGAAATCAGAATCACTCTAATTATGTAGTGCATGTGTAACATTAATTCATAGTGATAATATATTAGCTTGGACAAATAATCAAAGGAAGGAGTAAATCTACTGTGAGATTACCGGTAAACAAAATGGCCCTGTTGTCAGCTATCAGATGTAATCAGAGCAACAACCTTTCAAGGACAGCTGTTCTGGTAGACCTACTTTCTGTTTGGGTTTCCCGGGAATGCCAAATGATCTCATCTGTGTTGAGTTGTGCTGGTGGTGGGGCTGTAGCCTATTTCTGAGAAATCCTCCGCCAGGGACTGTATACCTAGCTGTCGATATACTGGGTTGCCAGGTCACACATGCAAGCTGCACTGCACAAAAATACCTTGTAATGTTTTCACATGGAATTTCTTTTTGACTTTACACTGTTGTGAAGGAATGATTAATTACATGAATTATTGTTTCTTGGTGTAATAGTAGTCTGAAAACATGACTGTTAAAAACTGAAATGATGTTAGTTTTACATGTATTCATTGTGTATGCTGAGGTGGTGATTGTGCAGATAATTGATATCATAGTGCTGGAAGTGTTGAGTAGTTGTGATAAGGTGGAAATCTTTGAAAGTCGCCCTTCATGGTGTTATCTCACATTTCCAGTAAAGGGCAATTGATTTGTGGAGTCCACAAGTTAATTGTGCTTCTATTATTTCATAGGCCCACAGTATGCTTGAGAATCTTACAGTTGATCTGCACATGAGGCTCTATCCCAGCTTGGGAACAGTCTTAGTTATAGATAGTATGGAGTTTCTGCATAGACTGCTCATGCAAATGAAACTTGATGTTAAGTTGAAACTTTGCATCAAATCACCTGCAACTCCAGATTTTTGTTATATGTTTCTGTTGGGATATTTTCATGTTTGGTTTGAGTGAAGTTTATACAAATTTGAAAAGGATTTTGGCTGAGAACAGCCCTAGAATATGAACCCATCAAAATGCCGTGAGTTGTTTGTATACAGTACATTAGAAGCTTGTCATACAAAGTGATGTTACATCTATCATAAAGCAGTGAGTCTAGGCATTTTGAAAGTTTTGGGGAAAAAAACGAAAATTAAAAAACCTGTGTTACAAAAACAGATAAATTTGTTTTTGGAAATGTTGAATGTCCTGAAATGCAGAAGTGTTGGCAAGTGTTAAAGCAATGAACAAATATTTCAGTGACTAAATATTAGTCTTTTCAAAAATCCCATCCGCTTTCACCCACTACTCTCTAGCCATGCTTCCTCCTGCTCCTTCCCTCCACAACTATCCCTTGACTTGCTCCACTACCCACCCTACCAACACTACCCTCCTACCCCACTACCCCCTTACCCCACCCCGAGTATATTATAGGGTATATACGTTAGTAACAGTGAGTAACTACTGCAAGGCATGCACATCCTAAGGATATCCGTTTTTGTTTCAGGCCATCCGTGTATTCTTTGTGGTGCGAGCTCTGTCCTTGATGCTAATGGACCAACCAGAGACTCAGCTGCCGCTAACCAATGAGGACCGCTGTGTTAAAGTCGGGGACAAGCTGGACCTCAGTGAGTCAAACACCTGAGAAGGGGCTTGTGTATTTAACGACACTGTCTGTCACAGTAAATGGAGAGCATAGTAAACCATTGTCTGATACACTACTCTCTTGACAACTGATGTTGTTGAATGTTGAGAAATTAAAAAATATATTTATGAAACTCTTTTGAGTGGCATTTTAAAAGTTGGGAAGTGCAATATTGACAAACTTTTTGGATAACAACTTATTTACAAGAATCTGTATCGAAAAATATCGCATTCACAAAATAGAAAAGGTTGTTATACATAAAGTTTGTCAATATTATATTTATGTCCATAGTATAGGTGATAAAGCTTTAGGTAATCATGGTAGTAGAGTAGACTCAAGACATACAGGAAGAATTATGTTGGCAACAGTGCTTGTATAAATGTTAATTAAATTATGCTTTCTAAATTTTACACGTTGGTGTCTTTCTGTACCTTTGTATATCCAACATATTAAAATAACATGTTTAAAACTTCTTGAATATGAGAAAAGCATTGAGTCAAAACAGATTCAGCAATGCAGTCCTCAAAGGAGCTGTCCTTTCACATTTATCCTTCATTTCCTTTTGACGACCTTATCTAAATCTACCATATGACGGGCTGAACCTATTTTATTTGTAAACAGACACACAGTTTGAAAGTTTGAATCACATGGACTCATCCAGTCCGTCACCTCTGCCCTTATATATATATATGTTCCTTATGTAAGCTAGTTTTCCAGGAATTCTAAAACTGAAAGTGTGGTGTTATTGCTAGGTTAGAAGTGTTTGTACTGATAACATCCCCTGCTGTGGATCCAGCCCCTCCAGCCCTGTCCTGTGAGGACACATTGTGTGATGCCTCATGGATGATGATATAAATAAGGAAAGAAGCAACAATCTGCTTGATCAGCATTATCTGTGTATGATTCAGATCACACTGATCATGGGCTCTGTCCTCCACAGTGATTTCTTGGAAATACATAGAGATTAGTTTCAGGGAAAACAATATTGTTAACACTAATTATATTCATATTGTCTATTTTGTCATTTGCATAACCAGTTTACTGTATGCACATACAGTTCCTGAATTATTCATGATGTTCCTGTTTCAAGGTCACAAATTAGCCAAGAAAACCATAATAACCAGAATAGAAATAACACATAGCAGTACTGCCCAGCAGTGATGTAGGCTTGCAGGCTTGTGTAGATCTCTCGTCCTGCTGATTGTTTGATATACATATAAATAAGTCCTGGCTTCGTTTGTAGCTGATGTTCCAATCTGAAGAAACAGAAGATAACATTTCCGAATACGTACATTACCATCATGTCCACATATGGTATATTCAGGGTATGATCAGCTCCATAAATCATTGTCATTACACTAAAGGCAGAAAAACACTTTATTGCGTTTTTCCTGAATTTATTTCTGAATCCACTGGTTTAGCTTGAATATAATTCTTAAAGTCCATGGTTTTATGTTGTGGTCCTCCAAGCTTTCTGCTGGAGTTTTCTTTCCTAGCAGAAGCACAGGAAACCATAATATATTTCCTAAGGTGCTGTTGTATTTCTGGGGAAGGATGGGTGGGCCTTTACCAAGTGTTTGAAGTAATGTTGTAAGAATTAATATTTTTGTTATAATGTTCCAAAACTCAAGCTACAAATACACCCCTCTATTGCTAAAAAACATCTGCCCACTGGAAAAAAGGTAGTCAAATGTTAGAGGTAATATTCTAAGAATTTTTATCATTGTTAATATGTTCCAGTTATCAGGATAATGTCAGTAGTGGTTTGATCGTAATTGATCGAAGTTGGACTAATGTGACATACTGTTTGAACAGAACTGTGACTTACATTGTATTGCAATACGCTAGAAGTACCTGCATAGGGATACATACCTGGGATATATTGGGAGCTGAAGTGTTTGATTTGAGTCAAGATATAGATGATGTTTTCTGCATGTTGATGTAAATAATCTGATAGCAAAGACAGCATGGGCTGCATTCACTGTGCCTGTGAGAGAAAAATCACATTCACGCTTTCGCCATTTTCGCCATTTCATCAGTTAATTACAGTGGGAATATCCTTAGTGAATGAATATCTGTGTAGATTTTAGGTTAAATGATTAAATGAAACAATGTAATATAGTTTGTACCCAATGTAATAGAACAGAGGAAACATATTGCATTATTGTTTGAAAAGTACATTGTTGGGAACTGGTTTATTATTGATTCAGTCAAGTCTGTGTGACATGTGGTTGGAGTTTGTGTGGAAACATATTCAGTGGAAAGGTGTCCCTCCAAATACCTCAATGCTGAATATTATTATTATTCAATATGACCAGCTTTGTAGTCATGTATTTGTATGTGGGAAAATCATATTACTAATTCATTTGAATGATTGATAGATCTAAATATTACTTATGATATACCTGATAGAATGTCACAGCTACACTAAACAATTTTGTGATTGTATCACGGGCTAGCAATTTAATATGATTGTGTCATTATGCACAGGGTTTAATATGATTGTGTCATTATGCACAGTGGTTTAATATGATTGTGTCATTATGCACAGTGGTTTAATATGATTGTATCATTATGCACAGTGGTTTAATGTGATTGTGTCATTATGCACAGTGGTTTAATGTGATTGTGTCATTATGCACAGTGGTTTAATATGATTGTCATTATGCATTTAATATGATTGTGTCATGCACAGTGGTTTAATATGATTGTGTCATTATGCACAGTGGTTTAATGTGATTGTGTCATTATGCACAGTGGTTTAATATGATTGTGTCATTGTGCACAGTGGTTTAATATGATTGTGTCATTATGCACAGTGGTTTAATATGATTGTGTCATGCACAGTGGTTTAATATGATTGTGTCATTATGTACAGTGGTTTAATGTGATTGTGTCATTGTGCACAGTGGTTTAATGTGATTGTGTCATTATGCACAGTGGTATGATTATATCCTTATACACAGTGGTTTGATATGATTGTGTCATGCACAGTGGTTTAATATGATTGTGTCATTATGTACAGTGGTTTAATGTGATTGTATCATTATTCACAGTGGTTTAATATGATTATATCCTTATACACAGTGGTTTAAGGTCATCCTCACTCTCCATGGTGGTTTAGTGTGAGGCACATCCATATAGTTTATTCCATGTTAGAAATCAACATCAGTCAGCATTGAAATTAAGCATACAAATAAGAGGTTATTGTCATATCCTGTAAATATAACAGAGGGTCCCCAGGTCAGTATTGAAAGTTAGCACTATCCTGCTGGCACTCACCAGCATCTTGAGGACCTAAGGCGTTTATCATTATTCAGGCTAGCAGACGTTCATTGTTAAGCTCAATCCCTGCTTGTTTAGGCACTATACTTCAAAGATGCCAGGACCTACCTTAATTTCAAACACTGTTACGACACTTTGAAGTTTGTTGCTTCAGTAAGGTGACAACTATATTTTGTTTGCAGACAACAGCGATCTGATAGCTTGCACTGTCATGACCCGAGACAGGTAGGTAGCGAGGTTTTTCATTCATAGTAGGATCTTATCAGCGTTTGTGGTTTTCGTAAATTGATCAATGTCTTTTTTCATGTCTCCAACAATATGATTATTGTGGAGACTCATCTAGTAGCCCAGATTTTGTAATTGATATTCAGAAACCCATGCTTGTCGTAACAGGCGACTAACGGTATCAGGTGGTCAGACTCGCTGACTTGGTTGACACATGTCATCGTATCCCAATTGCGTAGACTGAAGCTCATGCTGTTGATCACTGGATTTTCTGGTCCAGACTCGATTATTTACAGACTGCCTCCTTACAGCTGTAATATTGCTGAGTGCCCCGTAAAACTAAACTCAGTCAATATGGATCTTCCATTACACTTATACAGTGTTGCAGTGGTCACATCTTTAAGGAAGGGTTTATTAGTTTTAGTCATGGAGATGTGTACTGAATGTGTTAACTGTCTGATGCAGTTTAGCAACACTGTTCAAATTTTCTACTTGTATCCTCCGAATGCACCTATGAATCCAGTGTTAAACCCTACTGAGACCAAGACCATGCTCCTTCTAGTTAATCATATTTTTCACAATACGTAAATTAGACCTAGGAACTTTGTTGGATGGAGTTAAATAAATCCTCACTGTCATTCCATGCAGACATTGATTTGTGGGATGTTTCAGTCGTAAACAAGAGCGTCGGTTCCTGGTGATTGACCCGCTACAGCTGATCCTCGTGGAACCTGATAACAAGAGGCTGGGCTGGGGCATTGTGAGATTTGTGGCATTCCTGCAGGTGGGTACTGTAGGGTGTTTCTGGGCTGGGGCATTGTGAGATTTGTGGCATTCCTGCAGGTGGGTACTGTAGGGTGTTTCTGGGCTGGGGCATTGTGAGATTTGTGGCATTCCTGCAGGTGGGTACTGTAGGGTGTTTCTGGGCTGGGGCATTGTGAGATTTGTGGCATTCCTGCAGGTGGGTACTGTAGGGTGTTTCTGGGCTGGGGCATTGTGAGATTTGTGGCATTCCTGCAGGTGGGTACTGTAGGGTGTTTCTGGGCTGGGGCATTGTGAGATTTGTGGCATTCCTGCAGGTGGGTACTGTAGGGTGTTTTTGGGCTGGGGCATTGTGGGATTTGTGGCATTCCTGCAGGTGGGCTGGGACATTGCTCATCCATTCACACTTATAATTACTTCCAGTTAATGCCAGCAGGTTGGGAAGATGTGGTGTTTTGTCAGATATCTGATTTGAATGCATGTTGCTGTAGTTCCTCCATTTGCTTGTGCAGAAATAAGAAAATGAACTTCAAACTGGACAGTCAGTTTTTCATAGTGAAGGATTCAAATAACCTAACATGATATATTTCCATTATAACAAAAGTTTTTAAAAATGAATACAAATTCGCATTCTGTTCCAGGACATCGAAGTGACGGGTGACAAGGATGACAGTCGGTCTCTCCATGTGGTCGTCCACAAACCATCATCATCCATCCATGCCCGTTCTCACCCTCTCCTGTCAGCCAGGTTCATCTTCGATGACCACATCCGATGTATGGCAGCAAAGCAGCGCCTCATCAAGGGCCGCCTCAAGGCTAGACAGCAGAAGATGCAGACTATTGAGCTGCTCCTGGACATCACTGGTCAAGCTGTTCGGTCAGGGTCACCGGGTAGCTTCACCAGATCAGGACCTATTCCAGGTAGGCTTGACTGGAGATCCACAAACACTTCAAGGATTCACTGCTGCACACATAAATTTATGCACCCAACCAGGGAAAGAAACCTTTCAAAATTTTCCACTAGACCACAGGACCAGTGAGTGAACAATAATTAGTGGTCCTGTTTGTACTTCAGTGGTCCAAGATAACATTCATAGATTTACTTAACTGTCAATACAAAATTTACCAGGACCACTGCAAACTTATAATTTAGTGGTCCTGATTCATTTTTACTAGCCAGGGACCACAGGACCAGCGTAAATTTCGCACGCTGCCAACCTGATCTTGACATCAGCAGGGGCCAGGATGTGATAAGGGACTATCAGATGGCATTGCTGATATGCTTGTTCTTCAGAGAGGATGCATGTCACTAGGGACTTGGTGATGACAACAATTTGGGAGGTTTCTGTACTGATAGTGCATGAAGTGTTGATGGCTGAACAAACTGCTTACATACTTGACATTCCCAACAAATGTACAGATGTAAGGATAGCATCAAAGGCATCATAAAAATGAGCAAATCTTTTCTGACATTCACTTCCAGCAGTGTGATTGTTAATCAATTTCTGAATGGCAAATTGTTAGCAAATTATTAGTAGATAATACTTACAGTTATCAGGATCTAGTGGTCAGAGGCAGTAACTTGGTGTATGTTGCCATAATGTGTGTGATAAGTTGGGATGCTGCTTATGAATGTAGCACTTGTCTACCCCAATTTGATTATAAACCGTTCATATAGCGTTCATTCTGTCCGTCCGTCCGTCCCGAAACTTTGTCCGGAGCATATCTCTTAAAGTTTACATGCTAGGTTCACCAAACTTCACACACATGTTAATCATTACCCATTGGTGGGCCTTTTGCTATTTTTTTTTTTTTTCAGAATTTTGTTTTATTGCTGTTTCCATGGAAACACGACTTGGTACCAAATGTGTTTGATGGTTTTGTCCGGAGCATATCTCCTAAAGTTTACATGCTAGGTTCACCAAACTTCACACACATGTTAATCATTACCTATTCATGTGCCTTTTGCTATTTTAAAGGTTTTTTTCAGAATTTTGTTTTTTTGCTGTTACCATGGAAACACGACTTAGTGCCAAATGTGTTTGGTGGTTTTTGTCCGGATCATATCTCTTAAAGTTTACATGCTAGGTTCACCAAACTTCACACACATGTTAATCATTACCCATTGATGTGCCTTTTGCTATTTTAAAGTTTTTCAGAATTTGTTTTGTTGTTGTTTCCATGGAAACATCACTTGGTGCTAAATGTGTTTGATGGTTACCTGGCCACAGCATATCATCGAAACTATACATGCTAGGTTCACCAAACTTAATACACAAGTTAATCATGACCCACAGATATGCCATGTGCTAAAAAATAACAATCTTCATCTACGTCCACTTCATTGTGTGCAACAAGTTCAATTGTATGTCAGGTTTCCACGGAAAACACAAAAAAGTAATGTTTCCATAAATTATTACTGTAATCAGTACATGGCAAAACAATTATCTAACATGTATATAAAGTTTAGTAGAGTCAAGGGGAAAGTCTTGTGAGCTGCTGATCCTTGTCACATTATATATATCAATATCAGTCATATCCATGTCCCAAAGTGGGAAGCAGGGGTATGTGAGCTGTGCTCACTTCTGCACTTGTTTGCAGGCTGCTGTCATTTTGATATAATATCATGGAGTGATGTGTTAACAAGTACACTTGATATATTGTAATGTGGAAATATGAAATTAGAGGTGTCATCCATTGGGAATTATAATATCGATATTTTTAATCAAATGTATCATGATGTGATGATATTCATGTCACAATTCATGTAAAAAATAATTGTTCAGTGCATCTACACATGTAGATCTGCATTTAATGTTTTTATGGTAAAAGTGAACCTTGGCTGATCCCTTCTCATTATCTTAGCCATAATGATCTTAATAAATGTAAACCTTTTTCTGGCAGTGAATTAGTAATTTAGTATCAATAATCACAAATTTGTATCAGTTTGTTGATATTCCAATATATGATGACATTGCTATATTTCATTACTCTGTACCATTTGCACTGTTTATGCCAAGGAGAAAGTATTCATGTGGAAGTATATGTGTGTTGTGTGTTGCAGGTCGGAGTCATCCTGTTAGAGCAGTCAAGGAGGGTGAACAGACAAAAAGCCAAAGTCCTCTCAGGAGGGAGTCAGGGTGCTCGACCCAAACAACGGACATCAGCAGCTGGTGAGCCAAAGAAGATCCGTGGTGGCAAACAAGGAACAGTGCCCAGTGTACCTGCAAAGAACCGAATGTCCAATCGAGATGAGGTGGAAGAAGCAGAGGAGGCCACCTCAGCCACAGCCTTCCAGTCTCTCAATCAAGACAGTGGACGCAGACCCAGCACTGGCAAGGCAGCACAGAGATCCTCATCGGGGCCCAAGATCAACCCTCAAGTGCAGGAGATTCCCATGGAGGATCTGTCTGTGAAGAGCAAGCACAGGAGTGGCTCCCTTGACAGCCGGGCCAAATCATTGCGTTTAGACCATAACAAGCATGACAGACATAGAAGTCATAGCCACAGTCCTCGCAGGGTCAAAGAAGCTTCTGTATCTATAAAGAAGGAGAGTCGGAGACTTTCTGGCCCTCAGACATTCAAAGCAAAAGTGAAACAGACAAGTTTAACAATTGTTACTGATAGGCCTCACAGCAAGAGCAACCCAATTCCTGTATCCTCCTCTTCCTCCAGACCAAAGAGTGGATCATCATCAGATGACAGCCCTGAGGCATATGAACGCTCACGTAGTCACTCAGGACAGTCCCCCAAGTCTTTGAGGCCAGCAGAGGCACCAACTCTCTCTCTTCTTCCTCAGCAGGGAATTGCAGACATGGTAAGCGTTGCAGCTGTGGATTCACCAATACTGGTTCCACCTGCAGACCAACAAACTATCCACCATGTTGTGGAGATGAGTTCCAGCAGCGACAAAGACACTGTTCAGGCAGACTCCAATGATGAAGCTCTGCCACAAGACACTCGGTCGTGTGACTCCAAAATATCATCAGACTCTAATGAGGACAGTAGTGTTAGTGTGAGTGACTCGGGTATCCAGAGTGAAGCCTCAACAACCATGGCACAGTCAAGGCCGAGGACTGCCTCGACATCAGAGCAACTAGCTAAACTTGCTCAGATGGTGTCAGAACACTACAGCTATTCGGGAGAACAGATTGTAGAACCTGAAGATGAGTCTGGCTGATTGAACCAGGAGCAGACCATACTTTACTTAAGTTTTCTTTGCAGGATGTACTGAAGCCTTTCTCCTTCTGTTAGTTTACTGAAGCCTTCTCCTTCTGTTAGTTTACTGAAGCCTTTCTCCTTCTGTTAGTTTATTGAAGCCTTTCTTCTTCTGTTAATTTACTGAAGCCTTTCTCCTTTTAGTTTACTGAAGCCTTAATCCTTCTGTTAGTTTACTGAAGCCTTTCTCCTTCTGTTAGTTTACTGAACCCTTTCTCCTTCTGTTAGTTTACTGAAGCCTTTCTCCTTCTGGTAGTTTACTGAAGCCTTTCTCCTTCTGTTAGTTTACTGAAGCCTTTCTCCTTCTGTTAGTTTACTGAAGCCTTTCTCCTTCTGGTAGTTTACTGAAGCCTTTCTCCTTCTGGTAGTTTACTGAAACCTTTCTCCTTCTGTTAGTTTACTGAACCCTTTCTGCTTCTGTTAGTTTACTGGACCCTTTCTTCTTCTGTCTGTGTATCAAAGCAATTTTTCCTTCAAAGTTGCACCAGTAGGAAGGGATGGAGAGTGATCTTAGCCTTTCTTCATTAATCTCTAGGGCTGTATCAGGATGATGGCTACAGGTTTACATTGTACATGTATCTTGGGGATGGGGAGAGGGGGCGTTTTTGTAGCCTTTCTTCCTCATCACATCATGGTTTACCATTATGAAGCAGGGGTACACAACATCTGTGTGAGGAATACCACAGTCTGTCTTTTATGGGAGGTCAGTGGGGTAGCCTAGTGGTTAAAGTGTTCACTCGTCACGCCGAAGACCAGGGTTTGATTCCCCAAATGGGTACAATGTGTGAAGTCCTTTCTGGCGTCCACTGCCGTGATATTGCTGGAATATTGCTAAAAGCAGCTTAAAACCAAACTCACTTACTCATTCCTTCTCTGGGTGTACTAATAAGAAGAAAGGATTATACCATAGTATGGCTCCTCTGGATATACAGACATTACGATAGGAGTGTACTTTAGTCCTATGTTTTGAGACTTTATGTCTTTAGTCTGTGGGTTAAGAGGGAGATGATCTTTAGTCGTTCTTCTTTCAGGAGATGTACTGTCATACAAAGGATGTACACTACGCTCTTTCTTCAGGATTTGTATACTGAAAAGGCTTTGTACACACCAGAATTAGAGTTTCTGCTTCATTGTAAATAGTACAATCATGAATACATTGTGTCCAGTGACAGCAGAAGTATTCATACTCATTCAAATGAAAGTTCTCTGCATCTACATTTTTGAGAAAATCATGTTAGTGTCAAATTATACAGCTGTTGTAAGTTATCTTTCTCCTTGGCAACTCTGATTTAGCACGTATCCCTTTGTACTTACACACCTTCATCTCTAAGGAAGACTTGGAACGTACACTGCACGAGATAACATGTATCCTAGACCCTTAGTGTACATACTGATTCCTAATGCATCAGTAAGTCACATGACTTGTAAGTTGTTGGTGATTGGACACTTCTCCTGATGACTAGTCTTCTCCCATGTGTGTTAATATATGTGTAATTACCCAGGATAAGGATGCACTGTGAAGTGCATCTCATGTACACAAGCAGTCAATGCCCATGAACACTGAAGAACCTTTGTGTAAATAATCATGTACATTGCCTGACGGGGCAAGGCTGTGAAGCTAGTTCCTTGTGGCTGATACTGTGCTGTTTGTTTTGTCTGGAATTCATGTATATAATTTGAAAGGGTAGTTACACCCAACGTCATTGTTTCAGTAATTTTCATGCTATTATCTTATTTCTGTGATTTTTGTCTGTTTGTATTGTTGTTTGTTGAAGATTTCTTTACAGATATTACAAAATGCACTTCACGTGATTTGACATGTGAAATAAGTTTGACAGGAGACACGTTTTAGAGAAAAACATCAGTAGGCATTTGAAAAGGAAAAGGAATAAGTTTGGATAAGATGATGAAATTTGTATTTAATGTAATTAGAGATTCTTGAAATAATCATTTAAGAACAATGTGACAAAAAATTATAGCCAAAATAACTTTCAATGAGAAATATTTAGGCTGACAAGATGATATTTTGCTGAAATGAGACATAAAAAGACGTGTTATAATCATCTATGTGTGCCTGTGCCATGCTCAACAGACTCTGCATGCGTGCACTCCATGCAGTGCAGTTTGCACCACCTTACACTTTAGCCACATGAATACATTTACTTGTATCTTTCAGTGTGCCCAACTACCCGTGAAAAATTTGCTAAGAGCCAATTATATTTTTCTGTGTGTTGGCCTTTATGTAGGGTGGTTTCGACAAAATGCAGTGTAATGTATTCAAGTTAAGGTCGTGTCAACCAATTTGAAAAAGTCAAGTGGTTATAAATCATGGTACATATAGCCTATTCTTTATCACAGTCTAAATATACAGATGTCCATGTTATTTATGAATGTAATATGGTTAGTTATGTGTATTGGTATAATGAGTATGTATGCAATAGGATGTGAAATAGTAGGTTCATTGCTTTCAGAGAGGGAAGTTTGTGAAAAGTAGAGAGAACACAACAGGGCGAGGACAGCAACATTGTTCAACACAAGCCCCACACATTCTAGTTTCAGGGAAACAGTAGGCGGTCAGGGGTAATGACCTAATGCTAATAGAATACCATTATAGCCAGTCAAATGCTTGGGTAACACATGCATTTTCTTTATTTATGTTTGAATTTTAATAGTTGCTCAGAATGTAAAATACAAGGTTAACCATGCATAATAACATATGGCCTGTAAATATTCGTGTACTGTATTTATAAATGGACTTCCTATGCAGTCATGGGATACTGAAAATTAGGCCACATACAAAATTGAAAGATCAAGATTTATCATTTAATTTTTGTCTATAACATAAGGGATTAAAGCAAGATGGTGGCTGATCTCCATGCTGCCCCACCAACTGTCTCCTGAAGTGATGGCTACATAGTGTCGCAATCTCCAGTACCAGATGGGTGTGTTTGGCTGTTGTCACTAAACCACACAGGTCAGCATGTTGAAGTGATATCTGCATAGTGTCACAATCTCCAGTCCCAGATGGGTGTGTTTGGCTGTTGTCACTCAACCACACAGGGCGGCATGTTGAAGTGATGGCTACATAGTGTCACAATCTCCAGTCCCAGATGGGTGTGTTTGGCTGTTGTCACTCAACCACACAGGGCGGCATGTTGAAGTGATGGCTACATAGTGTCGCAATCTCCAGTCCCAGATGGGTGTGTTTGGCTGTTGTCACTCAACCACACAGGGCGGCATGTTGAAGTGATGGCTACATAGTGTCACAATCTCCAGTCCCAGATGGGTGTGTTTGGCTGTTGTCACTCAACCACACAGGGCAGCATGTTGAAGTGATGGCTACATAGTGTCGCAATCTCCAGTCCCAGATGGGTGTGTTTGGCTGTTGTCACTCAACCACACAGGGCAGCATGTTGAAGTGATGGCTACATAGTGTCACAATCTCCAGTCCCAGATGGGTGTGTTTGGCTGTTGTCACTCAACCACACAGGGCGGCATGTTGAAGTGATGGCTACATAGTGTCGCAATCTCCAGTCCCAGATGGGTGTGTTTGGCTGTTGTCACTCAACCACACAGGGCAGCATGTTGAAGTGATGGCTACATAGTGTCACAATCTCCAGTCCCAGATGGGTGTGTTTGGCTGTTGTCACTCAACCACACAGGTGTCACAATCTCCAGTCATGTTGTTTGGCTGTTGCCAACTCAACCACACAGGGCTGCAGTGATGGCTACATAGTGTCACAATCTCCAGTGTCTGTTGTCACTCAACCACACACAATCTCAGTCCCAGATGGGTGTGTTTGGCTGTTGTCACTCAACCACACAGGGCGGCATGTTGAAGTGATGGCTACATAGTGTCACAATCTCCAGTCCCAGATGGGTGTGTTTGGCTGTTGTCACTCAACCACACAGGGCGACATGTTGAAGTGATGGCTACATAGTGTCACAATCTCCAGTCCCAGATGGGTGTGTTTGGCTGTTGTCACTCAACCACACAGGGCATGTTGAAGTGATGGCTACATAGTCTCCAGTCCCAGATGGGTGTGTTTGGCTGTTGTCACTCAACCACACACAGGGCGGCATGTTGAAGTGATGGCTACATAGTGTCCCATGGCTGTTGTCACTCAACATGTTGAGTGTCACAATCTCTCCAGTCCCAGATGGGTGTGTTTGGCTGTTGTCACTCAACCACACAGGGCAGCATGTTGAAGTGATGGCTACATAGTGTCACAATCTCCAGTCCCAGATGGGTGTGTGTTTGGCTGTTGTCACTCAACCACACAGGGCGGCATGTTGAAGTGATGGCTACATAGTGTCACAATCTCCAGTCCCAGATGGGTGTGTTTGGCTGTTGTCACTCAACCACACAGGGCGGCATGTTGAAGTGATGGCTACATAGTGTCACAATCTCCAGTCCCAGATGGGTGTGTTTGGCTGTTGTCACTAAACCACACAGGTCAGCATGTTGAAGTGATGGCTACATAGTGTCACAATCTCCAGTCCCAGATGGGTGTGTTTGGCTGTTGTCACTCAACCACACAGGGCTGACATGTTGAAGTGATGGCTACATAGTGTCACAATCTCCAGTCCCAGATGGGTGTGTTTGGCTGTTGTCACTCAACCACACAGGGCGGCATGTTGAAGTGATGGCTACATAGTGTCACAATCTCCAGTCCCAGATGGGTGTGTTTGGCTGTTGTCACTCAACCACACAGATCAGCATGTTGAAGTGATGGCTACATAGTGTCACAATCTCCAGTCCCAGATGGGTGTGTTTGGCTGTTGTCACTCAACCACACAGGGCGGCATGTTGAAGTGATGGCTACATAGTGTCACAATCTCCAGTCCCAGATGGGTGTGTTTGGCTGTTGTCACTCAACCACACAGGTCAGCATGTTGAAGTGATGGCTACATAGTGTCACAATCTCCAGTCCCAGATGGGTGTGTTTGGCTGTTGTCACT